AAAACAAAAAAAAAAAAAAATTGATGTAAAACAAAAAAGTAAAATTAATAAAATATAGGAGATATTTGTAGATTTAAATTTTAAATTCAAACTCAAAAATATGTTATTACTCGTGTCCCTAATATATCATATCTCATAGTGTTGGACTATTTGTTTCTCCAAAGTAGACCCCACTATAGCATTAATACAATTCATCTTCTTTGCCTCTCCACATCTTCCCCACTATATCATTAATACAATTCATTTTCTTTGCCTCTCCACATCTTTCACACTCATCATCTTCCCTTCTTTGTGTCTCAAAGCCAAATTGCTAAACTCTTGAAATTTTTTAGTCATCTAATCTTGCCGAACTTTTTTTTAACCTTCAATCTTTTAGACTCAAACTTGTACTCTTCCTTTCATTTTCAGCAACCTGCTTTCTCTCAATCTCACCATTATTTGAGTTCTCTTCCTCTTCAATCTCCACTACATGACTTACACTTCTTAAACAAGGCATCAGAATTGGTTCAATCATTGAAGAGCCTAGTAGCAAATCCCCATTTCCTCTTGAATTTCAATTGATTGGGCTTCTAACTAAAAATATTGAATATTTTGGCAGTTGAAATTGTAATCACCGAAGCATTTTTGGTACAATTTTGGTTGCTAAAAATGAGGAAAAAAAAATTTCGATTAGTTATATGTTGATTCTAGTTAAATTGAAAATTGACTCATGCCTAAACCTACCAAATTTTAATATTATTAAAAATTAAAAAACAATTAAAAACACCTAAACATATCAATTCAAGTTCACAATTAATTTTACATTTTTTTTTCCTTTGCTACCTAACCACGTTAGCCATTAACACAAGAATTACAAAGCTATAATTGTAATTTATTGTTTCACAAATCAAGTTTATATATATTTAAATACTAGTAAGGAAATAGATGAGAAGAAATCAACTATAAGGACCTAAACTCAAGCTATTGGTGGAAAAATGTCAAAAATAAACAGAGGCTCAAATGGCAAATGAACTTAATTCACCCATTTTCTTTCTTTCTAGGTAAATGTTAATTTGTGCCGAATTGATGAGTTGAAGCACTAAAAAAGTGTAGAATTGAGTTGAGGGATAAAGGTTAGGGACCAAAAAGGGATTTAACCATTAATAAAGTTCGTTACTTATCCGTACGAATCCTGGAGTAAAGTTAAAAATGCCGTAGCCATCCGAAAACTGGGAACGAACTATTCTGAATCGAGGATTCAACCGCCGGCGAAAAGAGAGCTGCCGAAGATTTGGAAAGAGAGGGGAAAGGGGCTGAGCACGATTCAGAGACCCTAGTCGCCATCCACTCTGTTCATCCGAGAGAATAAGCCGCCCGATTGTGAAGGGAGAACGGGAAACGGCCGAAAAAGAGTGCAGACGGGGAAGTTGATCTAGCCACCGGGAGCTTGGAAGAGAAACTAAAAGAATAGGACTGACGGCAAAGAGAAGATCGGAGCTGCTTAAAGGGGTTCCCGAGCTTTAAGACTTAGGCCAATAGGAGGGAAACGCATGTAGACCGAGAGGAGAAAACCAGTGGAGGGAGAGAATAGAGCAGAAGAGAATGCCGGAGATCAATTAGAGGAATCAGAGGTGCGAGATTAAGCTACAAGAAAGGAAATAGAACTGCTGTCCCCTGTGCCCAAGCCTTTGTTTCATCACTTACCGGCGAACTTTGGGTGGATTTAGCATTTTGAGCTCGGTCAAATCTGGTTTTCTATAATTTGGTAGTGTGATGATGCTTTCATATGTCCTTTTGTGACTGATTTAGGTCCATAATATATATTGGGCTGTTGCTGTGGAGTTGAGGTACTTTGATTAATGTTAATTGCTATTTTACCTCAGTGAAACCTCGCTTCTGAGTTAATTTTAATTTCCTGGTTGTGTTCTTTATTTGGCAATTAATGAAAATTGAATAAGATAGTTTATTAGGTTTTGGCCATACCATGAGTTCAGTTTTCTGAGCTTTGAATAATTGATCTATCAGGAGCTTAGTTTAGTAGCTGAATGTCAAGAGTTTGTGAATTAGCAATAGATAGTATGTAATAAAAGGAAGTAAAATATGATGAGGAGAATGATTTAGTTCTTAAGCTAGAAGGAAGCCAAACAGGGCAGAAACAAGCAGAATTAAAAGAAGAATAGAAGCTTAGATATCTGAACTCTGAAGATAATTATAAAAAAAAAAAAAAAAACACATAAAGAACAATTTAAGAATTTGAAAAGACAATGAAGTAGAGAGAACAGAAGGAAAGTGAAAAAAGAATCAAGATTCAAAAGAGAAAAAGAGGTTTTAAAGTAAAGTCTATAAGGAAAAATATGATGGAATATAAGAGGATAAAATGCCAATGATGAAGATATAGAAAAAGAAGTGAATACCATAAAAATATTAATAAAAGCTTTAAATAAAATGTTTTGCTTGATTAAATCATGTTTTAGTGAATTTAAGTTCTTGTTTTGAGTATTTTTGCTTGTGTATGATGGAAATGGTCCCCAAATTTAAAGTATAGCAGCTGTGTTCACAGAGGCTGTGGAATGCACTTATGCGCTTCCCCATGCCTAATTGTATCCTCGAATCCAGTACATCTCTGCATAGGTCGTCAGACTTACAGGTGACTTACCCCACCTCGAATTTTGGTAGGTGGCAACTCTGTTTTGGCCAACATCAACAATAGTGGAGCTGCCCCATTCTGATGGTGTTTGTCTGGTCTGATCTTGCAACATTTCAGTCTCACAAGGTGCTGCTCATAATTTAGAAACGAAGACTCTGGTATTGCTAGGTATTTTATCCTTTTCCTTAACTCATCCATCGGTAAATATTTGTATAATTTTGTTCTCAATTTTCCTTATTGTCTTGGTTTTCTTTTATACTCTCTATGGTTAGATACATAAAGAAACTGTGATCATTCAGTTACAGCAATGACATTGACTATGAGGCGCTATCTTTCCAACTGTCATAATGCGGGTTTCAGATTCCTCAGTTTCTTTTGGGTATCATTCTTCCAATTTTTATTTTTTCATTTCATTGTTATTATCATTATTATTATTTAATTATTTAATTTTTTAATTTTTGATTTTTTGCTTTCTGTATCATATTTCATCTGTCTAAGTGTGTATTCCTTCTAATAAGTTACGGAATAGAAACTGGGGAGTGCTTTTAAGCAGAAAAATATCAACTTAATCCTACATATTTATCTCAGAAGCACTGAAAAATTCTAAAGCTTATTTACCAAATTGCCTTTTGCAATTAAATCTAGATCCATTTCCTTCACAATAATAGTAATAATAAAAATGTTTAGGCGGTGATTATATTCCTTCCTGTGTATAGTATTCTATTAGTTTATCTTTATCAGAAAGAAGTATCAATCTTGTTTGGTTTATTGATGTGTGGTGGTCCAATACCCTTTGTTGTTTTTAAATTTCCACTTCTAAGTTATAATAACTATCATATGCACATTAGATTTTAATTTCTTTTTCAACCACATTCTATCAGATGCTTTACATGCATTAGGTGCTTATCATCTCCAATGTCTGCTCAGGGAAATTATCAACTTGGCTCCCTGCCCTCAAATACTGCCACTCAGGGGTTATTCGATGCTCACCTATCACCATCTTCGCATAACTTCTTTTCAACTGCTTGTGCTAAGACTTTGAACCATCCACCTATTTCTGATATGTTGATTGACTCGTTTGGAAGGATGCATACCTACCTAAGGATATCACTCACAGAACGCTGCAACCTACGTTGTCAGTATTGTATGCCAGCTGACGGTGTGGACCTTACTCCTACTCCTCACTTACTCTCCCAAAATGAGATTCTTCGTTTGGCTAATCTCTTTGTTAATTCTGGGGTTGACAAAATTCGTCTCACTGGCGGTGAGCCAACTATTAGGAAAGATATTGAAGACATATGCTTACACCTGTCCAACTTGAAAGGGCTTAAGACATTAGCAATAACTACCAATGGAATTACTCTTGCAAGGAAACTTCCAAAGCTTAAAGAATGTGGGATTTCTTCTGTAAATATCAGCCTAGATACTCTGGTACCTGCAAAGTTTGAGTTTATGACCAGGCGTAAAGGGCATGAAAGAGTTTTGGAATCAATTAATGCAGCATTAGACCTTGGCTACAATCCTGTGAAAGTATGTCTCTTTAGAAGTTTTTAAGATGGGTTTTATGCTCCTATGACTTTCTGTTCAAGGATTAACTGTTTCCCATTTTTGTTGCTTGCTCACAGGTGAATTGTGTTGTGATGCGTGAATTTAATGATGACGAGATCTGTGATTTTGTAGAGCTGACTCGTGACAAACCAATTAATGTTCGGTTCATCGAGTTCATGCCCTTTGATGGAAATGTTTGGAATGTGAAGAAACTAGTACCTTACTCTGAGATGTTTGATAGAGTGGTAAGGTAGAACTCTTTTGTGAGATCATGTGTGGAGATTTCTACATGTCTGCTTTGGAACACCCCTTGTAACTCTTTGTTACTCAACAGGTAAAGCAGTTTTCAAACATAAAGAGGCTGAAGGATTGTGCAACAGAGACAGCCAAGAATTTCAAGATAGATGGGTATACTGGTTCTGTTTCTTTTATCACATCAATGACTGAGCACTTTTGTGCTGGTTGTAATAGGCTGCGACTTTTGGCAGATGGGAACTTCAAAGTATGCCTCTTTGGTCCTTCAGAGGTTAGCAGATTTATTCCTTTTTCCATTATCTCATGCTATGTTTCATTTTATCGTGATTAATAGCACTCGTTAGTCGTTACCATCATGTCTGTTAGGAGGGCATTTATTATCCTAGTAGTAAACTGAAGGCTTATTATATGTCTTCTTTTCATGTAGTCACTGTGACGAGGATATCTTACAAGGCATCTATGAGTTGTTTTTATGTCTTTGTCTTGAATCCTATCCTATGTTTCCGTTTCTCTAGCAAACATAGATGCATTTCAAAAGCTCCTGGGTTCTGGGTTTAAAACGTAGTACTTTTGTTGTCATTTGAAATGGAAATCTGTATTGCTATTTTAAATTTAATTTTGCTTGTGTTCTTTCTTTTCAGGTTAGTTTACGGGATCCACTTCGTAGTGGTGCTGATGATGAGGAACTTAGAGAGATAATTGGGGCAGCGGTATGCATTTTATTGGCCATTACAGTTTTTTTTTTTTACTCTATTCATAGTTTCATCACTTGCATGTGGCTTGGTTTTTTGGTTTATTCTTGTCCACATATTTCTGTATATAAATTCATGTCTGTGCTGTGAGGGGGGGGGGGGGCTCTTGGTAGATGGTGGACCAGTTGGTTCAATTGATTAATGGCCCAGGCCAGGGGATTAAGAATCAGTGTAAGCTTTCAACTTTTTCTTTTCCCTTATTTCTTGTCTCTCCTTCTTTGGTTCAGGTAAAGAAGAAGAAAGCTTCACATGCTGGAATGTTTGACATTGCGAAGACAGTAAATAGGCCTATGATACACATTGGTGGCTAAACAATTTCATTCATGGAAACTTCGTGAATGTTTGCATATTCAGAAGTTAGAATATAAGGCCATGTACAATGGAGAGTTTCTGTCTCTCTATTAATGTGATGTCACCACAATCAAATATTCACTCTCAAAAAGAGACTCTTAACATAGACTCCTCTCCAACACATACACCCAATAGAAGACTCAAAAGTTGAACTAACATTATTTTATTTAACTTATTTTGTCGTACATTCAAATTGTTATTATTTTATAAACTCACATTATTCATATTTATAATTTTTAAATAATATTTTTAAATTTGAGAAATATTTTAGGAATTCAAAAAAGAGATTTATGTATTTTAATTCAAATTATACATTAGAGATGTACACGAGCATGAAATTATTAAATTACTCTTCATAAATGTATATAAAAAATTTTCATTAAAAGCATTTTAATAATTTTAATAGTTAGATTGTACTTTAAAAGTGTAATATGGCTTGACAAATATTTTTTAGAAAAAATATATATTTATAGATAATATTTTAAAAAAATGAGCCAAAAAATGGGAAATAGCCAACTGTAACTTTTACATAGCTGTTGGCCATTTTAGTTCAAGCCAATCAAGGACTAAGGCCAAAGAAACGAGCAAATATGGAACAGAGCCGGTCAAAAGGCAAAATCATATGTTAAGCCCCTGAACTAACTTTTGATTTGCTATTGAGCTCCAAAACTTTAATTGATGCATATATGCCCCCTAGGCTCCACCATCTAAGTAATTAAGCCTTTATTCTTATGGCTATTTAGTCCTTATTTTATGGTAGTTAAGGAATTAAGGGCTAAATTGCTCAAATCGTAAAGTTTAAAGACTTATATGTATTAATTAAAATTTAAAGGTTCAATAATAAATTTAGAGTTGATTTAGAAGCTTAACATATGGTTTTGCTCGGTCAAAAAGGTTGTTGGCTGCTGATAAAAAAAAAAAAGGGGCTGTTGGCTATTTCAGGGCCAAGGAAATGGGCAAAAATGTATTAATTAACTTCACTTGCCCTCCATCTACAATTCAAAAACATAACAATGTCGTCCCTCCATCCAATTTAACCTAACGGCACTGTTTATTGACTGTTTAAGTGCAAACGGTCACATGTTAGGCTTTTTTAATCCTTCTTTTTTGCCACATCATGCTGGTCCCTTGCCATCAGATAAATTTTGCCACTGACTTCATCCACAGTGCTATACTCTTGAAGCTGTGGCCTCAAATTGCTGTTTTTCAAATCTGAGCTATCAATGGACAAACCCCATAAGTTCAAACTAGCAGTTTGAAAGCATCGAGCAGATGGGGAATAGAAGCTATGACGGAAATGACCATTTGGAAGAACTGTCCCATTCTGGTTGACATGAGAAAAGGGTTCACTTCCAACAAAAGAACCAAATTTTACAGTTTTAACTGTATTCAGGCCTGTGATCTTGTGAGAATCTTTTCAAGAAAACTTTGCTTCCCCACTTTGTCTAGAAAATGTGAAGCATGCATATCTGAGGATGAAAAGGTGGGATTGGAATGATTGAAAGCCCCAGCGAATTCAACGCCTTTCTCGCTACCATCTTTGTACCTCCGTCATTTGCGACTCTGTTTATAGCTTTGCAACCCTCCGTTAAAGCACATATTTTTCTGACTCTTTCCTCCAATTTCCTCTCCTTTCCTATTTCTTACGTAAGTAGATTATCCATTTCTCTCCAAGGGAAAAAAGGAAAAAATCAAAATCATCAAGCAATGCCTACAACGACCAATAACCTAGGATCTTTCCTGGGTCGAATTAGCATCAGCCGAAACCAAGTTATTGCCATGGGAGCTAATGACCAAGAACTCGAGGACCTCGAGCTCTTCCAGAAGCATGTCGGCGATCGCTTCGCCGAACTCTTTACTACATCTGATGAACCCTCCTTTGCTGATGCTCTCCTTTCTAAACGTTGGCTTCGAAGACTCCTTGATATGTTCCTCTGTTACGAGGTTGAGTTTAAGGCCCTCGTCATCATGGGCCAAGACCCTTCTCAGATTTTCAAATCCCCTCTTGATTATTTGATTCTGGAGCTCCTCGAACGCACGGTGAACGTGCTAGACATTTGTAATGCAGTCACCAGTGGGACTGAGGCCATCAAACATTGCCAGAAATTGGCAAAGATTACTGTCTCTGCTTTGGAACAGAGGCCTATTGGCGATGGACGGATTAGGAGGGCGCTAAAGGCGTTGAATTCGTTGATGATGGCAATGATGATCAATGACAAAGAGGGCAGCAATAATTGGACTGAATTCATTGATTTGGGTTAATTGCAGACAGTGGGTTTCGAAAGGAAGAAAGAAATTAGGGAAACGAGAGTGATTTGGGGATTTCTTATTTGCTGTAAGATATGATGTGGCACGAGATGATATGGCAAGGGTGAGACCCACAAGGCATGGGTGGGAATGTTATATATATAATTAGATATTTTTTAATAATATATTTATTATTTATTTTATATAATATTTTATAATATATTATTATTATTATTAGAATTATTATTATATATAAAATTCACTTTAACTTTACAAATGCATGTGATATGGGTACAGATGCATGTGATAAACAGATTGGATCTTGAAGCATGGGGCGGTGTCAGACAAGGAAGAAAAATAATAGGATAAAGATAAAGGAGTAGTTAAAATCAATTTGGCAACTACTTTATTTGTAAAATTGAAAGTTGAAATTGAGTTGGATAAGACCGTCTCCAACGAGCAGATTGAAATATTATCTGATATAAGAGTTATGCTTTTTGCATATGTTTTACATCGATGTAAAGACACCGGTTGAGAATTGTAAATAAATAATATAATCTCAAGAAAAACAGACCATCTTGAAGATATACTTTGATTTTTCTTTATCTTCTTTCTCAAATTTTTGCACTTTGCTTTCAAGTTTTAATATACTGTTTGGGTGATTAAAGTTTATTTTAGTGGAAATTGTATCATGGGGATATCGTTTCCTATAGAGAGCTAGAAACTATTATCCTTAAGAAAAGGTTCTTGGAACTGCCTTACTCACACCAATTGCATCTACAATTCTCTGCATATAATAGGAAAAAAAAGATTAAAAAAGATCTAATGGGTGACTCGGTTTGCACTTTTTTTTTTTTAATCAAGACAAGTGGTTCAAGAGAAAAGGGTGAGGAGCGGATCAAACCCTATTCATAATGAAAAAAGTTTACATAAAATTATTGAGTCATTAGGTCGACAGGCCTTCTTCATTCAGTTTGCACTTAAACAGCCAATAAACAATGCACGTTAAATTAGATGGAGGGACGATATTGGTATGTTTTTGTATTGTAGAGGAAAGACAAGCAAAGTTAATTAATAGTAAGGGGAGGATATGACGCAAATTAATAGTAGAAGGTTTAAATTATACTTTTTTTGATAGTATAGGGATGAGAGATGGCATTAACTTTTTTTTTTTAAATTATCTCCAATTGGGGGCTTGTCTCTATCTATGTCTCTTAGATGTCTCAGTTTCTTAATCATTTTTTAAAAGAAGAGAACACAACACATCTCATTATACATGTTTTTATAATATGTTTGGATTAAAAAAAATAAACGAGAGGGAAGAGTAAGAATAAAATTTTTTTTATGGAAACAGTGGAGAAAAATTCTCATTATTTTATTTTTTTAATTTAATTATTTATCCAAATGAAAAAATGACAGAAAAATTAAAAAAAATAATTTTTCTTTCCTTTTTTTTTCATTTTTTATTTCTCTTAATCTAAATATAAAATTAATGTTATTGATTAAATTTATTTCTTTCAACCAAAATATAAAGTTAAAGTTATTGATTAAATTTATACATAGTAGAATAAACTTTTCCTGCATACTGTCTTACTAAGTCATAGAGGAATAAATAGCAAGAACTAATAAACTTTTACTTATTGAATATTATATATTACTATCACGCCCTAGAA